TCTCTCTCTCTCTCTCTCTCTCTCTCTCTCTCTCTCCATCATCTCTACTTCTATAAAATAAGATATTTATTGATATAGTACAACCAACCCCCTCCCACAAGCCCTTCTGCTCTCTTCTCCAACCCCTCCCATGTCTCCCACCAACCCCTCCCATGTCTCTCCCACCAACCCCTCCCATGTCTCTCCCACCAACCCCTCCCATGTCTCTCCCACCAACCCCTCCCATGTCTCTCCCACCAACCCCTCCCATGTCTCTCCCACCAACCCCTCCCATGTCTCTCCCACCAACCCCTCCCATGTCTCTCCCACCAACCCCTCCCATGTCTCTCCCACCAACCCCTCCCATGTCTCTCCCACCAACCCCTCTCACGCTCCACCCCCCTTGCCACCTCAAACAACCCTCCCCCCCCCCCACCCACCTCCCCTCAACCCCATCCCTCTGCCACATCCGCAAACGTTCTCAGAGTCTCAAGCTTTATCTTTCAACGTCTTGAGTTCCTCCTTGGAATTCTCTCTTAAATATAATACTCAAAGCTAGAGTAATAATACAATTGGTTGGTATATTCGAGACTTGTCTGGGCTGTTGTATTTGAGTGTAGCTCTTGCGTGTTTCTTGTTGTATGTTGTGCTGTATGTTTAAGGGAGCGAAGACGAATGAGTAGGAGACTCATAGAAGATAAAAGAAAGATAAAGGGAGGGGGATAAGAGTGTGGTGATTTCAACGACCAACCATAGAAAGTAATCCAGTCTCTTCCCCGCTGGTGATCTCTCCCACCCACCCTCCCTCTCTCCCATCCTGTCCCCCTCCCTCACTCCCTCCCTCCTGCCCCCTCCCTCCCTCCCTCCCTCCCTGAGTGTGACTCAGAGCGGGACTCGTCTTAAGGGCTAGGTTCACCACACCAAAACCCTTCAATATAGCGAGCACCAACACTCATTCACCAAGCTGCTCGCACACGCAAGCACCGTGCGTGGGGGTCCATCCCAAGCAACGGGGTGTATGGGTGATGCCAAGCACCAGGTGTGTGTGTATGTGTAGGGAATTGCCAAGTACCAGGTGTAGGGGGTCCATTGCCAAGTACCAGGTGTAGGGGGTCCATTGCCAAGTACCAGGTGTAGGGGATCCATTGCAAGTACTAGGTGTAGGGGGTCCATTGCAAGTACTAGGTGTAGGGGGTCCATCGCAAGTACTAGGTGTAGGGGGTCCATTGCAAGTACTAGGTGTAGGGGGTCCATCGCAAGTACCAGGTGTAGGGGGTCCATTGCCAAGTACCAGGTGTAGGGGGTCCATTGCCAAGTACCAGGTGTAGGGGGTCCATTGCAAGTACTAGGTGTAGGGGGTCCATCGCAAGTACCAGGTGTAGGGGGTCCATCGCAAGTACCAGGTGTAGGGGGGTCCATGCCAAGCACAGGGTGTGGGAGTAACAGTGGGGGTTGGGAGGTGGGGGGGGGGAAGGGAGTAACGATGAGGTGGTGGAGGTGCGGGGGGTGAAGAGGGAGCGTGTGAGTTACGGGCTGGGGGTGCATGAGCCACAGGGGGGGAGGAGGGGGATGATAGGGGGTGGCGGGGGTGGGGGGGAAATTTTCTAGAGAGAGCAGGAAATTGCAAAAGAAAGGAAATAAATGGGAAAGAGATGATGACTTGTATGAGGGGAGGAAAGGGGGGGGGGTGTGTGTGAAGGATTATAGGAGGTTTATGAGCATGGAATAGAATGGAAGAGGTGGGGGGAGGGGAGGGAGAGTAGTGGGAGGGGGGGGGGGAGAGAGAGACTGGTGGTGGTGGTGGCGGCGGGCTGCCTCAAGGTGAAACAGCGCCCGGGGGGAGACTGGAGGCGGCGAGGGTAAAGGGCATCCGCTGAAGAGGAACACGCCTGGGACACTCCACCAACAATCACCAAACTTCCTCCAGCCGGGCTCTATCCCCCCCCGCCCCCCCTCCGTCCCCCCACCCGTCCCCGCTCCTCACCTACCATTCCGTCCCTTACACCTGCTAACACTACTTCCTTCCTTTCCGTGTCTCCTTGCCCACCGGCGGCACTCTGGGCACCACCCGTGCCCTGCTGCTGGCGGCACTCTGGGCACCACCCGTGCCCTGCTGCTGGCGGCACTCTCGTCGCCCGTGGCCATGTGTACTACCCGCAAGCGCCCCCCCCCCCCCCCGAAGGGCCCGCTGGAGCCATTCAGGGCCTCGCCACTCAGGGTTTCATACCACATAAGTCGCCACTGCAATGCCCTGACCCCCCCGACCGCTTGAAGGGGCGAGTGCGTGCCGTGTTTGTCAACAAGTGATGGTGTGAGCCCCCTCCAAACCTTCCCGACCCCAGCAAACACCTCCCAAGTTTCCTCGCCACTCTTTCCTTCCATCCTGTTTTACTCCCCCTTCCACTAACGCCTGTCTTCTTTACTCCCCTCTCCTTCGACTCCCCCCCCCTCCTCCCTCTCCCTTGGGAACCGTCGGGGAGGTACGCACGAGCGCCTCCGGCCGTCGCACGCGCTGTGTTGCGTCAAGTACGCCTACGACGCACCACTCCTTGGCTCTCTCTCCACTCTTCACATACGTCGAGGAATTTTTTTCCTTTTGGGTTTCGCTGGAGCTGAACGGATGTACAGGCGACATGGACGGGGGCAAGTTTCGCTAGAGTTCTGTCTCTGGCAGTGGGGGTCATGTGGGAGACGGGTGCTAAGAAGCCATCTGTCTGCCTGTGTCTGCCTGTCTGCCTGTCTGTGGGCCAACCAAACCTCAGAGGCCGTTCTCCGTTTACTGTCGTGAATATTCACTAAAGATCATCGCTTGCCCGAACCACAACTCATTTTCCATTCCCTCTCCCCCTCTGTTACTCCCTTTTATTTTCCCCTCCCTCCTTCCCTGCTCCTTCCATTCCAGTCCCCTTCCTTCCTCTGTTTCGTCTCCTCTCGGATCTACCTAAAGCCAAGGAATCTTTAAACTGTTATGCATAATATTATCGTCATAAATCGTCGTTAAAATATAATTGTAGTATATCCTTTATATGTTGTATAAAGATATAAAGCTACCTTTATATGTAGTATAAAGTTACCTTTACATGTAGTATAAAGATATATAGCTACCTTTATATGTAGTATAAAGTTACCTTTACATGTAGTATAAAGATATATAGCTACCTTTATATGTAGTATAAAGGTATAGTGCTTTAAATGTATTTTAAATTAAAAATACAAATGCGTTTTATATACCATTTACAGTTATGTGGTTATTTACACCGTTTACTTAGTTGTTTACTGTTATATGTGAATTATGTGGTTTAAATTGCCCCTCTGTATATCGGAATTGAATTATTTCTGCACCTCTGATAATTATTACTGACACGAATGTGAAGAATAACCCGCTATATTTATTGCGGTATAACCCACGTATGTGGGTTATACCGCATCTTGGAGTGTATCGCCCCTAATCCTGTAGCCAACAGGTATAATGGTCAAGAGGTGTTTGGAATATACTCGACTTAATTTCAGAGATGTATTACAAATAAACAGTGAATATTACGACTATTGTGAGACTATCGTACGGTACCTGACAGCTGCCAGGCGCCTGACAGCTGGGTGGACAGCGCTTCGGATTCGTAGTCCTGAAGTCCCGGGTTTAATCCGCGGAGACAAATGGGCAAAATGTTTCTTTCACCCTGATGCTCCTGTTACCTGGGAGTTAGAAATCATCTCAAGATAACCTCAAGATATACCTGTAGTGGGGTTTGTTAGTTCTACACCCCAGGCCCGAGGTGGGGGCCCAGCTCATGGTTCAGTCGGTTTGTGTGTGTGTGTGTGTGTGTGTGTGTGTGTGTGTGTGTGTGTGTGTGTGTGTGTGTGTGTGTGTGTGTGTGTGTGTGTGTGTGTGTGTATGTGTGTGTGTGTGTGTCTGGGGAGCGCAGGGGGTTTGATCCCATTATAGAGCCTCAAGATTCTCTCGTATCGCAAATGTTTCTATTGATTCTCTTCTGTCAGGTGCATTCAAAATGGAAATATTGATTTAGGGCCCCGTAATGAGGGAAGGAAATCAAGAAGGTTTTGAAGACATTTAACCATCCGTCTTATTTCCATAAAATACTGTAATCTTATCTCATGTATTAACATGTGCTCTCCTAAATCTATTAGATCAGTAAAGGGATACTGATATAATTGTTAAAAGTATACTTTCAGAATATAGAAGTTTAATGTATACCTCCTTAATCCTATAAGTAAGATGTATTCCCTATTCCTACATCTTCCCTTCCAAGAGGCTCATGTATTCTGCCTCACAGACGTGTATTAACTACTGTAACCTCTCACACAGACATGTATTAACTACTGTAACCTCTCACACAGACAGTGTATTAACTACTGTAACCTCTCACACAGACAGGTATTAACTACTGTAACCTCTCACACAGACGTGTATTAACTACTGTAACCTCTCACACAGACAGGTATTAACTACTGTAACCTCTCACACAGACAGGTATTAACTACTGTAACCTCTCACACAGACAGGTATTAACTACTGTAACCTCTCACACAGACAGGTATTAACTACTGTAACCTCTCACACAGACGTGTATTAACTGCAGTAACCTCTCACACAGACATGTATTAACTACAGTAACCTCTCACACAGACATGTATTAACTACAGTAACCTCTCACACAGACGTGCATTATCTACTGTAACCCTCTATCACAGACGTGTATTAACTACAGTAACCTCTCACACAGACGTGTATTAACTACAGTAACCTCTCACACAGACGTGTATTAACTTCAGTAACCTCTCACAGACGTGTATTAACTACAGTAACCTCTCACACACGTGTATTAACTACAGTAACCTCTCACACACGTGTATTAACTACAGTAACCTCTCACACACGTGTATTAACTACAGTAACCTCTCACACACGTGTATTAACTACAGTAACCTAACCTCTCACACACGTGTATTAACTACAGTAACCTCTCACACACGTGTATTAACTACAGTAACCTCTCACACAGACGTGGAGGAAGAGTCGGCCTCGCTAGCGCACGTGCCCACCACGTTCCACGAGTACGTGCCGGACTTCAACGAGTTCCTGGAGGGTTACGGCGGCCCTCTGCCCGAGCACCGTCTTAACCCCGTGCTGACCACCACCTCGTCTTCCACGTCCACCACCTCCCACGGGCCGCCTCCACCGTCTTCCTCGGTGCCCTCGTCGCTGCCGCCCCAGACGGCCGTGCCCTCCACGGCCTCCTCGTCGTCAGGCACCACCACGTCGCCCTCCAACACGTCCTCCAGCACGCCCCACCCGCCCTCCACACAGTCGCTACAGTACTTAGACGGTCAGTACCTCCTCTCCTGTGAGTTTTTGGTCTGTCAATTTCTGTCCCCTGTTAGTCATATCTGCTCAGTTTAGGGATTTTTTTTGTTGTTTCTCGCGCGTCCAACCACTTGGGCTGGACGGTAGAGCGACGGTCTCGGTTCATGCAGGTCGGCGTTCAATCCCCGACCGTTCAAGTGGTTGGACACTATTCCTTCCCTCCCCGTCCCATCCCAAATCCTTATCCTGACCCTTTCCCAGTGCTATATAGTCGTCATGGCTTGGTGCTCTCCCGACAATTCCCTTCCCTTCTCGCGCGTCTTAATTCCTTGCTTTCGAAGGAGTCGTCAGTTTCTCTAACCCCATTATCAAGTTATTCAGTTGTCAGTGTTATCAGTTTATCAGTATTACTTAGCCACGAAACACCCCTCAAATCCACTTTGTTAGATTACGGCTCAGTTCAGTATTGGAATTATCATTGTTAAAATGACCATATGAAGGATCTCAAATGGGATTACCAGGGCCTGGATTTAATTAATTTTATTTAACAAAAATTTCACTGTTGCTCGTTTTATCGTTTAGTTTATATATAGTATGGATTTAACTTGGGATTTATCACTGCATTTTTTTTTATCTTTATGCGAGATGATTAATTTAATGTGAAAATATATTATATATGTGTATGTGGGGGCGGCTTTCTCTGTTATTTTTTTGATTGGCAGAGGGCTGTAAGGCTCACAACTGATTAGCAGGACCTTGTAAATTTCGTCACTGATTGGCAGGTTTAACTTCTAACTTACAGGGTGTGGATTGTAGATTCTGAATGGCAGGGGATTGGAAGCTTCTTTTAGTAATTATATGAGAGTACTATAACTCTCAGATATATGTGGAGTGAAAACGATTTTGAACACTCGTATCTTCGTGAGAGATGGTTACTGTGGCTCAAATGTGGAGTGTGGGGGTCTTGGAGTGGGTGTGGGGAGCTTGGAGGTGGGGGTCTTGGAGTGGGTGTGGGGAGCTTGGAGGTGGGGGTGTGGGGGTCTTGGAGGGGAGTGTGGGGAGTTCGGAGAGGGGGGTGTGGGGAGCTTGGAGGGGGTGAAGAGAGCTTGGAGGGGGTGTGGGGGTCTTGGAGGGGGGTGTGGGGAGCTTGGAGGGGGTGTGGGGAGCTTGGAGGGGGTGTGGGGGTGTTGGAGGGGTGTGTGGGGAGCTTGGAGGAGATATGGAGAGCTTGGAGGGGGGTATGGGGAGCTTGGAGGGGGGTGTGGGGGTCTTGGAGGGGGTGTGGGGGGAGCTTGAAGGAGATGTGGAGAGCTTGGAGGGGATGTGGGAAGCTTGAAGGGGGGAGTGTGGGGATCTTGGAGGGGTTGGTTGTTCCAACAAGTTGTGAGGCTTAGTTGGGCGTAAAGCTGAGTGGAATGCCTGAGTGAAGGCTGGTTTGGATGTGGGGCTGTATTGACATGGGTGAGACATGGGTGGATTATGAGTCTGAATGGGAAGTTGGGCTAGGTAGACGTGGGACTGGGTGGGACATGGGACAGGTTGGGACATCTGGCGAGACAGGAGGATTCACTCAAGTTCTGAGGCCAGTCTGAGATGGAGTCCAGGAGAGCGTGAGTGCTTTTCTTCCAGTAAAGACGCTCATTATCTCTGTCAGTCATTATACTTTTGGGGGGAAATCACGCTGACAATGAAATTCTTACTGAAGAGAAAGTGCTAAGCAAGTCTTATACAGCACATGGAAAGGATATCAAGGACTGGATAGCAGTTAGAATATGATGACGGAGAGAAGGAACAGTGACCCCCCCCCCCCCCCAATCATCTGGACCTTCGAGGATCGTTCGCAGACCTGCACGAAGCCAGGCCGTCGCTGTACCGACCCCTCCGAGTGGCTGGACTGCGGTTCGAGGCCGAGTCTTAAGGAAGCCCACATATAGTTAAAGCAATTGCTTTAAAGCATCCCAATTTGGATGCTGGTGTGTTGTTGACTATTTTGGCAGTGCTCGTTTCCCCTTTTCATTCTCAAACAGGAAGGATGACTCGTGTATGTCTTTGTTAGATCACACACACAAACGCTTTGTTATTTCTTCATGCACAATTAACCTCTAACAACCTCGCACTGGTAAAAGCCATAACAGTGGGGGGTTGGGGGGGGGGGCTAAGATAATACTGAACTGATAAATATGAAGGGGAAGCAAATCGATAAGTTCACTTGGACGTGGCTGAGAAAACCCGAGGAATACCATGCCGGAACAACCGTGGACATTTTCAAGAGGAAACTAGATTTATTCCTCCAAGGAGTGCCGGACCAACCGGGCTGTGGTGGGTATGTGGGCCTGCGGGCCGCTCCAAGCAACAGCCTGGTGGACCAAACTCGCACAAGTCAAGCCTGGCCTCGGGCCGGGCTTGGGGAGTAGAAGAACTCCCAGAACCCCATCAACCAAGTGTCAACCAACCATCAAATTCCGGAGGCCTATTTCTTGGGGCATGACAGCGCACCTTACCCGAGTTTGTCATTAGATCCAGGTTATAAAATGCTCAGTGGCGCCGCCTCCGCTGAATCGGCTCCACTCAAGACGACTCGCTCGCTCGTTCGTAAAGGTGAAGTGCACTAAACTACCTAATTCATAATTGATCCTTCTTGGATAGTTTTAATGCGTCTAAATTGGACCACGTGTTACTTGAAGAAAACGGGGGACCGGAAACTCCGAATACATTGAGAAGTACATAAACCCGTTGCAAAGGCTCATAAAGGGTCAGTTCTTGTGAATTCAAGAACATACCATATAGAGGCACAATTAAGATATATTTATGTATGATGTACATATTTATGTATCATGTACATGGGAGCCGGTCGGCCGAGCGGACAGCACGCTGGACTTGTGATCCTGTGGTCCTGGGTTCGATCCCAGGCGCCGGCGAGAAACATTGGGCAGAGTTTCTTTCACCCTATGCCCCTGTTACCTAGCAGTAAAATAGGTACCTGAGTGTTAATCAGCTGTCACGGGCTGCTTCCTGGGGGGTGGAGGCCTGGTCGAGGTCCGGGCCACGGGGACACTAAAAAAAGCCCCGAAATCATCTCAAGATAACCTCAAGATAACGTCATATATCAAGGGCTATAGAAAACGGGATGCCTGGCACTCCAAAATATGTATTATTTTGGAGTGTCCCAACCGCTAAATTCCTTCTTGCCCAATCAGGACATCGTCACACTCAGCCGAGACGAAATGTCGGGGGAAGGGAAGCAGGACTTAGAAATATTATCGTGTTGGATAATGAAGGGGGAGGGCGAAGGGGGGGGAGGAGGACGTGGACGATTAGGGAACATAAAAAAATAGTCATTTTCAACACGAACGAAGCGACGTTGAGGGTAGAAAAAAAAATATTGTTTGAATGAATAATGAATTGGCAAGTAAAGAGTCTCAATTGTGTCGCTTGAGGATTGTGAGTGAGGAGGAATTATATACAGCTGTGTGTGTGTGTACTCACCTAGGTGTGCTTGCGGGGGGTTGAGCTTCGCCTCTTTGAATAGGGACTCGTCATGTATTTATCTAATATTTCTCTCTCTCTCTCTCTCTCTCTCTCTCTCTCTCTCTCTCTCTCTCTCTCTCTCTCTCTCTCTCTCTCTCTCTCTCTCTCTCTCTCTCTCTCTCTCTCTCTCTCTCTCTCTCTCTCTCTCTCTCTCTCTCTCTCTCTCTCTCTCTCTCTCTCTCTCTCTCTCTCTCTCTCTCTCTCTCTCTCTCTCTCTCTCTCTCTCTCTCTCTCTCTCTCTCTCTCTCTCTCTCTCTCTTTCTTTCTTTCTTTTAACCCCTCCTTGCAACACCTTACTAACTCCCAGATACGTATGTCCCGCTAGATGAATAGAGCCTTCAGGTGAAAAGAAACTGTTCATTTGTTTCTGTCTCGGCCGGAAATCGAACCCGGGTCCATGGACTGCGAATCCAGAACGCGGTGCGTGCGTGCTTGCTCGCTCGCGTTCAGGTGTTAGATGTCATTTGGAAAATGGAAGAAGTGGCGTGAAGGGTAAGACAGCCATCATGTAAGATGTTGTTTCAAGTGTGGGCCGGAGGGCCTAGGCTTCCCACAGGTGTAGCCTGATCAGTGGGGTGATTGGTCCTCGGTGATTGGGGCCACGACGACCATCACAGCCTATTCCAGGCTCGGTGCTATAATTATTGGACAGAGATTAGGTCTGCGTATTTTCTAATATAATATTAATCCCAGTATGTACAACGGCTGAGCGGGGCCTCGACCCCTAAAAAAAATGATTTTTTTTGTTTAGAAAATTGTTGTTGTGGTTGGAAATTGTTGTTGTGGTTGGAAATTGTTGTTGTGGTTGTGAATTGTTGTTGTGGTTGTGAATTGTTGTTGTGGTTGTGAGTGATGATCCTAGGAATAACAACTCGAGCTTCGGCCCATAAGGGTAATAGTGATTAGGATGGCGGCGTCAGTTAGGTCAACTCTCACGGGGATGGTGACTGAAGTGAGGATTCTGGTGATGATGGTGAGGCTGGTGGTGGTGATGGTGAGGCTGGTGGTGGTGATGATGGTGAAGATGGTGATAATGAAGGCGCCGGCCAGGGTGGGCGTGTGGGCGTGTCTGCTTTACACTAGAATCGCCGGAAGCAGAGTGACTCGAGCGGAAAAAAACGCGGGAGGGAATGGCGGGGTGGGGGGTGGATTGAAGGGAGGAAAGGTACGAGGTGGAGGGGGAATAAGGGGAGGAGGAGGGGGGGGGGTGAGGGGATGACAAATCAGGTGTGTGTAGGCCTCAGGTGCTCACCCTACACCTAAGCACAGGTGTGTGTAGGTTTTCAGGTACTCACCCCCACACACACCCCTAAGCACAGGTGTGTAGGGTTTCAGGTATTCACCCCCACACACCTAAGCACAGGTGTGTAGGCCTCAGGTGCTCACCCTACACCTAAGCACAGTTTTGTGTAGGTTTTCAGGTGCTCACCCTACACCTAAGCACAGGTGTGTATAGGCCTCAGGTGCTCACCCTACACCTAAGCACAGGTGTGTGTAGGCTTCAGGAACTCACCCCCACACACCTAAGCACAGGTGTGTAGGCTTCAGGTACGCACCCCCACACTCTCCTTGAAATCATTACACACCTGGCTTGGCCTCCCGAATCCGGGCGGCTTGGAGGGAAGGCATCTACCCTCTGATATCAAAACATATATATATATATATATATATATATATATATATATATATATATATATATATATATATATATATATATATATATATATATATATATATATATATATATATATATATATATATATATATATATATATATATATATATATATATATATATATATATATATATATATATATATATATATATAATTTACCTGCCAATTTTATCCAGTCCAATTATAATTGCGTGTAAATTATCTAACTGTAGATACGTAGCGACGAAAGCCATGCTCATTGTGGCCTGTCAGCTTTGTATACATTTAAGTATACATATCTGTCGTATGTATTATTATTGTTTTTTGATATGAAAGGGAAGAACTCAATCGACTTAATAAATACATTATTACTAATACTATTATTATCAACTGTGGTAAGCTACAAAATTGGGGAATGTACATTCATACACCACCCAGCATACAGTGTGGGGGAGCCTAGTATGTATACTATACAACTATACACGAGTATGAACGAGCGTTACCGTGTCAGACAGTAGGGCTGGCATCCTGGACGGTGGCGCCAGCCCTGGCAGTGGCCGCCATTCTAACTATTTCTCTCCCCTAGTCACTCTTAACTAAACACGAAAAGATATTTTCGTAAATGCGAAGATTTCGTAAATTTTTTTTGTAACAAAATGAAGTATTTATATGAAATATTTCGATGAATTAATGATTAGCTGCTCATCATTAATTTATAATGATTAAGCGTCTTAATTAATTCGTATTTATTATGAATACGGTATAGTGCAGGGTGTGTATATATGTATTATACAAATGTATGCATGCATGGATATGCATATATTATACATATCCATCTATACAAATACAAATACAATTTTTTATTCAGGTAAAGTACATACAAGATAAGATACATTTAAGATACATGTCTCATACCTAACAGCCAGAGTGGCCAAACAGACCGAATTTTCTTAAGTTGTTTTCATAAATGTTCTGTTACGATATAATATAAAACTGCCACATCTACAAGTGTTTTTAAATTGTCGTATGTTGATAAATAATTGACCTTATTACGTCAGTTATTTCTCAACGCTGCTTAACATGGGGTAAGATTAATCTTAAGTTAGCAATTCCTTGTTATCAATACAATGTGATAATATTACTAAGGTGAACTAATTTCGGAACAAATTTAATATTATTTGCGCACGCACACACACACACACACACACACACACACACACACACACACACACACACACACACACACACACACACACACACACACACACACACACACACACACACACACACACACACACACACACACACACACACACACACACACACACTCTGGCTGTAAGAAAGGAGCTTCTCTTACTAGGCCAAGTAGTGGATGTGGTTCTTACTTAAGACATAGGTGTTCCCGCAACAAAAATTTGCGGAGGTATTCAGATTTTTTTTCTTTTACCAAAATGCATTAGATAAATATTGATTTAAACCTTCAAAGCCACTGGAGCTCTCGCATATGGTCTCAATGTGTGTTTAGAAGCCATTTCCGGCCAGAGGAAATATCAGAACTTGAAAAGAATAAGATATCCTTAACTGCCACATGAATTGTGGTAGTTACTACTACTACTACTACTACTACTACTACTACTACTACTACTACTACTACTAGTAGTAGTAGTTGTGGCATTTGTACTACTAGTCATTGTCTCAAAAATATACTAATTATACTCTACGGATCAGAGACAAGAGAGAGAGAGAGGTCTCGATATACACAATGGAAATAACTGACGCATCCTCGGCAACAATATATCAATGTAGCTAATAAATGCTGGAAATGTGTGGCCAGAAGTGTCCGCTAACAATGCACAAACATCATCCTCTACTCTTATTTAGGTCTTGGCGAGGCCCCAGTTACAAGATGCCCTCCATCTCACGTCACAGGAATAGGGAGTGGACATGGATTCCCTCGAGAAAATATAACCTAAGCTAAGCTAAGCGAGGGGCATAACTGGCCGACCCCTCACAGTGTTCAAGAGAGAACTGGATAAGCACCTCCAAAGGATACCTGATCAACCAGGCTGTGACTCGTACGTCAGGCTGCGAGCAGCCGCGTCCAACAGCCTGGTTGATCAGTCCGGCAACCAGGAGGCCTGGTCGACGACCGGGCCGCGGGGACGCTAAGCCCCGGAAGCACCTCAAGGTAACCTCAAGGTAACCAGACTGGACCTCACGGGGGAGACATCCCCCGTCACGCAGGGTGTAGTCGCTCCTCCACAGATCTCCAGTATCAGCTCTTGATACTGGTAATGGCTCAAAAGGACCACCACTTACGGGCTATTCATGCCCGTGCCACTTTTTGGGTGGCTTAATCTTCATCAATCATCAATCAATCGACTGGTCAGCTTAGGTTCGAGCCCCTGCCATACGAAGACAGGTTAAGGGAGCTCGGCCTGCAGTCTGTGGGGAGGTGCAAGGCGAGGAGAGACATGATCACGGTCTTCAAGTGAAGGGGTATCGACCAGCAAGATCTTGAAGTGGTCAGACCAGGTCATAATGAGTAAGAATAGCTATATAAGCAGAAGTAGTTCAGGCTTGAAGTTCAGGCTTGAGGAGACCATTTGGTCCCACCATTTGGTCATCCACAGATCTCCAGTATCAGCTATTGATACTGGTAATGGCTCAAAAGGGCCACCACTTACAGGCTCTTCATGCCCGTGCCATCTTTTGGGTGGCTTAATCTTTATCAATCAATCAATCAGGCTTGAGGAGGAAGTACTGATTTGGAATTAGGATGGTAGACACGTACGTTACGTGTCTGCAAGATCAAGCTGTCTTTGCAGTTGCCATCCGATTGGTTCCGAGGATCAACGTCCCCCTGGCCCGGTCTCTTGACTAGGCCGACCGGGTGATGGTCTGGTCAACCAGACTGTTGGACGCGGGGCTGCTTGCAGCTCGGCGTATGAATCACAGCCGGGTTGATCAGGTAACCTTTACAGGTGTTTATTGAGTTCTATTTTAAACACCGCGAGAGGCCGGCCAGGATCAAGGTCATACTATTGACCCTCCCCAGGATGTAATCCCACAACAGTTGACTAAATTCCGGGTACTTATTTACTTCTAGGTGAACAGGTGTATTGGGTGATAGAAAACGTGACTACCCATTTCTGTCCCGCCTGAGATTCGAATCCGGGAATCCCGACTCGAATCGAGAAAGAATCCAACTGTACCACGGGGACCTTTAGTTTAGCACTACATTAGTATAGCAAGTGCGAGTTGCTGCTTCTCAGCACTTCGCGGGCAGTGCGACGTGTGGGCGTCGTTGTTCGTGCGCGGCACTTGCGTTCTTAGCGGTGAGACGCAACTTTACCACCAGGTGCGCCACTTTCCCGTTTGCCTTTTGTTTTCCCACTGGAAGCTCCGCCTCTTTTATCGTGACGTCAGAGGTTCCTGCGGGGGTCACTCTAGCTGCGCGCGTCCAATGACTGACATCCCCATAATCAGTTGCCATTCACCGCCCTTTCTTACCATTAACTTCCTCATCAATATTAAAGTTGATTCCTTCCCCGCCAACCAGAAATGCACAAATAAACAATAAATGTCAAGGTTTACGTATACGGCATCATGGGACGGCAACAGGAAGACGAAGAAAAGATTATATTACGGAGAGGAAGCGCGCGTCGGAAGCGCCTAACCGGTAACTGTGTTCGCCGACAAGTTGGCCGGCCGTCCGCGTCACACAAAAGCATTAATTGAGCGGGATCACACGTCCCAGGACCTGCCGACACACACACACACACCCGCACCACCCCCCACGCACCTCCCCCACACAGCACCACCCCCCCACACACACACCGCCACCACCACCACAGATCGCTTCGTCCGACTTGATTTATTGGTGGGCCGCCTTGTGGAGGGACAGACGTCGTGTCCGGACCGCCGCCACCGCCGCCAACCTTAACTCAAGACGCACACACAGCAAATGTGATCATTGTATTTTCTTAGTGTACCTGAAGACTCGTTCTTAAAGGTTGCTTCAAAAACATGGTTTGGTCTGTCTGAATAACTTACAGAAATCCAGCGTATTACCTGGTTATCAAACACATGAAAGGGGAAAAAAGGTTTCGCTTTGTGTGGTACTGAAAGTCGAAGTGTAAATAATCTCAGCAATTCCAAGAAATGATAACTTTTAAGACGCTGATTTGCATGACATTGAAAAGGACCTTCTGAACTTTGCCAAAAACAATTGTTGACACATTAAACTGACTCGTAAATTAATTTGTGGTTGACATTTGTATTAGTTGGTACTATCAACAATGTGCGAAACCTTTATCAATTTCACTGAAGACTTTTCGTATCGACTTTCAGACAACAGAAGAAGAGCGTGGAGCAGGAACGGTAAGAGACGCCCACTCTTTCTTGTATGACTAGTTGGTGGGATGCTGGCTCTCTGATCTCACATTATACTTCTCTCATCTCTCTCCTGTCTCTCATCTTTCTTCCTCCTCTCATCTCTCTCCTATTTCTCCCCCTCTCATCTCTCATTATACTTCTCGCATCTCATCTCTCTCTCGTATCTCTCCCTCTCTCATCTCTCTCCCTCTCTCTCTCGTACCTCTCTCCCTCTCTCATCTCTCTCCCTCTCTCATCTCTCTCTCTCTCGTACCTCTCTCCCTCTCTCATCTCTCTCCCTCTCTCATCTCTCCCTCTCTTTCTCATCTCTCTCCCTCTCTCATTTCTCTCCCTCTCTCCCTCTCTCATCTCTCCCTCTCTCATTTCTCTCCCTCTCTCATCTCTCTCTCCCTCATCTCTCTCGTATCTCTCCCTCTCTCATCTCTCCTCTCTCTCTCATCGCGTCCTAACAGTACAAATAACGTAGTGTATGTTAGTACTAAACCTAGCAATAACACCGCATCTTGGTAGTGGTTGTTTAATCTGACACCGATCATCATTTTAGCAAGCATGTCCTGGTGATGATGAAGCATCACCGTAGTCGTCAGGTGTGTGGCCAACACCGTAGTCGCCAGGTGTGTGTGGCCAGCACCGTAGTCGTCAGGTGTGGCCAGCACCGTAGTCGTCAGGTGTGTGTGGCCAGCACCGTAGTCGTCAGGTGTGGCCAGCACCGTAGTCGTCAGGTGTGGCCAGCACCGTAGTCGTCAGGTGTGTGTGGCCAACACCGTAGTCGCCAGGTGTGGCCAACACCGTAGTCGCCAGGTGTGGCCAACACCGTAGTCGCCAGGTGTGTGGCCAGCACCGTAGTCGCCAGGTGTGTAGCCAACACCGTAGTCGCCAGGTGTGTGGCCAACACCGTAGTCGCCAGGTGTGGCCAGCACCGTAGTCACCAGGTGTGTGGCCAACACCGTAGTCGCCAGGTGTGTGGCCAACACCGTAGTCGCCAGGTGTGGCCAACACCGTAGTCGCCAGGTGTGGCCAACACCGTAGTCGCTAGGTGTGTAGCCAACACCGTAGTCGCCAGGTGTGTGGCCAGCACAGTAGTCGCCAGCATTATTATACCATGTCGCTGAACAAAATATTTATGTAATTTCCTACATAATTGAACGTTTATGTTACAATACTTCCCGCTACCGTGTCTCTCAACAGTCAGGCTGCTTCACCTCCCACACCGTAAATAGTCTCCCCCAAGAATAAGGTGATAAAAACGTGAAATATTCCGCTCGTAGGTCGGCAAATACCACGGAGAAACCGCTAGGCCTATAGGACCATATAGCACTTGGAATATGTGAAGAAAGAGGTGGTATTATTTTTTTTTATTTACCATGGACCACAGGACTTGTGATCCTGTGGTCCTGGGTTCGATCCCAGGCGCCGGCGAGAAACAATGGGCAGAGTTTCTTTCACCCTATGCCCCTGTTACCTAGCAGTAAAATAGGTACCTGGGTGTTAGTCAGCTGTCACGAGCTGCCTCCTGGGGGTGGAGGCCTGGTCGAGGACCGGGCCGCGGGGACACTAAAAAAAAAAAAAGCCCCGAAATCATCTCAAGATAATCTCAAGAAAGAAGATGTAGGCCTGTAAGTGTTGATAACGGCACACTTTGAGACGTTCCACGTCCCGTGACGAGGTAGGGGGGGGGGAGGGGGGAAGGGTCACGGGACGACGAGCGGTGTGTGACAAAGAAGACCCCTCACGCAGCGTCACGACGTGTGACCTCACTCACACAGGTCCTCACGGCTGAGGGGGGCCGGGTTCTGGATTCACAATCCACAGGCAGATCTATTTTCATCTGATGCCGCTGTTCAACCTATCAGTAAACAGGTAGCCTAGTGGACCAAACTCTCACAAGTCAAGCCTGGCCTCGGGCCGGGCTTGGGGAGTAGAAGAACTCCCAGAACCCCATCAACCAGGTATCAACCAGGTACCTTGGAGTTAGGTTGAGGTCTGCATCCTGGCGAGAGAGAGAGAGAGAGAGAGGTACACATGTGAGAACTGTGACTGCCGACGTGGGGGACAGGAGGCAGGTATATACCCAGATATCCCTGAGATGCTTCAGTCAAAACTTTGGCGTTGAGAATAAGTAACAGTTAGTGGCTTCTTCCAGAGTTCTAGTTTAGTCTACCGTTGGTCTCTACTTTGTTGGACCAGGGATCGAACCCCGCGCGTCTCTATGCATGTGTAGTGTATATATATATATATATATATATATATATATATATATATATATATATATATATATATATATATATATATATATATATATATATATAATATGGGGCAGCAGGTGGGAGGGTGTAATGATCAGGGTGTAGCAGGTAGAGGGGATAGTCAGGGGCTCATGTGATTAAGGGCAACAGGTAGCAGGACGCCGCCGGAAGTCCCATTGTAGGGCCCAACATGCTCCGTTGCTCCTCTACACACCGCCCTACTCTCCCCAGGGGCGTATTACACCCCCGGGCCACCAGCGACCTTACGGCAGGGCCACATAAGGGCGAGGGTGCGAGTTTGAGTCGTCGGTCACCTCCGCCCCTCTAGACCGGACCCACTACTCTCCCCTCCCTCCTAACCATCACCCTTCAAAGCCCTCAGGATAATGGGATGTATTAATCGTTATCTAGTGTGTCGTTCTTTTTTCCCTCTCAATGGGATATCAAAACCTCTGATGATAACCGGACTGTGAATGGAGTTTAATATTATGTTTGACTAACATCCCAGTGACCCGTTTTAGGGGTCTGGGCCTCGCTTGTCCGGTGAAGGACCTGTTTATGCTGGCTCTTTATCCGGGGGTGCTGCGGCCTGCCTCGCCCCGTCTTGCTCCGTCCTGCCCCGTCCCGCCCCGTCCTGCACCCGTCATGCCCCGTCCCGCCCCGTCTTCACCGTCCCGCCCCGCCCTGTCCCGCTCCGTCCCGCCCCGTCCCGCCCGTCCCGCCCAATCCCGCCCCGTCCTGCCCCTTCCAACCCTATCAGGTCCGGTCTGTCTACCGTGTACCTCATTCCACCCTGTGGGATATACCAGCTATTAGAATACGTCCCAAAGCTTGCCTTTTATATATGCAGATATGTCAACCCGTCCTCCTAATAGAACGTCACATTTTGTACGACCAAAAGCTGTCGTACTGCAAAATAGCGGCTGGCGAAATGGACATAATGTTCCGTTTTCTGTTCGAGAGTCCTCCGGTAGGTTAGGATAAGGGCACTCTAGCACGACAGTTTCTTGATGTTGGGGACGCTAACGAGAACGGGCTGGAGATATATATATACCATATGAAATGCTGGTGTAACCGGCTCAGTCTCCAGTAGCTGTTATTAGATTAATACTTCACTGGACAGGGAAATGTGTTGATGGAGGGAGGGAAGGTAAGGGAAGGAGGAAGGTAAGGGAAGGAGGAAAGGTAAGGGAAGGAGTAAAGGTAAGGGAGGGAAGGAGGGAGGGCAGAGAGGTAGGTGGGGCGGGCCGGACCACCACCGACACTGCCAAATAGAGAGTGTTTGTCCAGCACACTGTTGACACGAAAGCTGCGAAATTCCTGCGGTTATGAAAAACAACGTTTCCTCCGAGTCAACATCACGGCAAGTGTGTGTGTGTGACGGTTACGGCAGTGTGAGAGATCGCCGCCGCCGCCTCGCTCTGCGGTTACCGCCGGTGTATGGGACCGCGGGGTCCATCCTGTGGGGTATCGACAGTGCGGGTGACCACCGCCTCCTAATGTTTACCACTTCAGACCTTGCATACGACTATCGCTGGACGATTTTGACCTGAAGTTAACTGGTGAACAATTTCTTCGTTCATATTGCTACCGAGGGTCAGCTTCTTGTATAAGATTGCCGGTGATCGTATCTTGCGCGAAATCCGACTACCGGTTATCTTGAGGTTATCTTGAGTTGATTTCGGGGCTTTAGTGTCCCCGCGGCCCGGTCCTTGACCAGGCCTCCACCCCCAGGAAGCAGCCCGTGACAGCTGACTAACACCCATGTACCTATTTACTGCTAGGTAACAGGGGCATTCAGGGTGAAAGAAACTTTGCCCATTTGTTTCTGCCTCGTGCGGGAATCGAACCCGCGCCACAGAATTACGAGTCCTGCGCGCTATCCACCAGGCTACGAGGCCCGGTTAGCGATTCATGCCGATTGCTGGGTTCACAAGCCGGGGAGATGAATTTCGTGGTCTCTCTCACCTCTACCACCCAGTCTCTCACCTCTACCTCACCTTCTCTCACCCTCTCTCACCTTCTCTCACCCCTCCCCTACCTCACCTCTACCACACCTCCGCCGGAACTCACTCATCTCTTTCCGAAGGATTTCCGTAAATTTTGACATCCGGAGAGCTGATCTCTGCATCCTTCCCCCTCCCCCTAAATATATACATGGAAGATACTGGAGGGTCAGGTACCACATTTGTACAGTAAGGTTACATACTGGAGTGAACCATATGTGAATGAAATGCAGAATAGAGCCAGTGAAGAGTAGAGGTGCCATAGGCTCAGAAAACACTGTATCGACATTGTAGCTCACGGTAATATAAGAAATATTGCTGGAACAAAATTTGAAGTCTTCAAGAAGAAACTGGATAGTTTTCTACAAGACGTGCCGGACCAATCGGGCTGTAGTGAATATGTGGACCTGAGGGGCCGCTTCAAGTAACAGCCTGTTGGATCAAGCTCTCACAAGTCAAGCTCTCTGGCCCCGGGCCGATTGATTGATAAAGATTAAGCTACGCAAGGAGTTGCACGGGCATGTATAGCCCGTAAGCCGGGCTTGGATACGTAGAAGATCTCCCAGAACCCTATCAGGCTCATTCCAGATCCGGGTAAGCGTTTTACACTGCCCAGGAATCGTACCCAGGACCAGATGGCGCTAATCACTACGCTACAGGCATGAAGCACGCTACCGAGACATGGAATTAAAGGAACGCCATACTGAACAAAGATACTAGAAGTTGAAGGGAC